GTAGTAACAAGAAGCTACTAGGAGCAAAGGGCATCGCTACTAGTAACCAGGGGCTTACTAGCAGTAACAAGAAGCGATAAGAAGGGAACATCACCACATCATGGGACATTGTGCCTGTTTTTTTTCTCCCCCGATCATGCACTTCCATCATCTTGAAGTAGAGAGACGTTTGAACACTTCCACATCGCATCGCATCTGCCATTTCTGATCAGATACTGTCTGACTAGGCGACCTATGGACGTGCGAACTTGCCCTCCACACCCATGCAGGATGTGACGCTCGACCAGAAAATGAGGTGGGCCAGAACGGGACCTCCAAATCTCGAACCACTAAGACGAGTGGGGTTCCACATGCATGTGAACGCCCGCCCGGGAACGGTAGCTGAACACTCAGTGGTCAGGCGATCCTCTTTTGGTGACAGACCAAAGATCACAGGACCCATCAGAAACTCACCAACAATCCTCGACTTTTCCAGTGCGCCCGGGCCTCTCACCACTGGTTTTTTCGGCTCCGCCTTTCGCCGAAGCGGTCTGGAGCGCCGAAATTGCGATGCGTCGTTCGTGGACGGAACGTCCACGTAGTGCTCCCCCTTTGAGGCCCTCATTGCAATACAAGTTTTACGGGAGGTGGCCTTATGTTTATTGAACTTGGCTTCGTCAGCAAGTTCCCTATCACCAAACGTTTATCACAGAGATCACAAAACTATTCTCAAATTCGATCCCTTGGGATCTGTTCATTGACGGGCTGGGGGGGTTGCGTTTCCACCTGGCCCAGGTTGCATGGGGCCTTCGCCTCGGATTTCGAAGACGAGATGAGTGCGAGGTATGTGGCCTATGCCGAGCATGAGGCGCACCTGGCAGATGTTTGAGCGAACCATTTCTGACATCTTTTGACGGCGCCACCAGGTTGATGGTTTTTGTTAGGGCAACCTTCATGACTCCAGGGCAACCGTCATGGGGTTCCCTAGTTTCGTGAGACTGTCTCAATCCTGTTCGGGAGTGTAAATGGAGGAGCTCGATTGATGAGCGTTTCCTTCAACCCAGTTGCGCCAGAGTTTTGACATATTTCTGTAATGTCTTCTGGAGGAAACCCATGACAGACACCTTTCGGTTGACATTTTGCAGGCGAATGAGGCACCGAATGGGAAGCACCGGATCAAAATGACCAAGGCCGCCGGGAGTCAGAAGAAAGTAGTGACGCAGCTGATCCATTCACTTTTGAATATATCCCAAAGGGGCCACTTACAGATGTAGCTTGATGGTTGTAGTTGAATGGGCATAGCCCAAAACGATGGTGTGCCATGGTGTGCCCGTAGTTTTGGCCGGTCAAAGGCATCGGAACACATGCTACGAAAGGACGCTACGAACGGGCTCCTGGCATCGCTACGAACGGAGGGATCCACCAAACACAAACGGCACACCGACGGTGTGCGCTCCAGACGGTGGTGCCGCCTGTCTTGCGGTCCGCAGGCGGAGCAGATGCGCGTGCGCGCGCGGAAGATGGCGGAAGCGCCCCCAAGGATTCTGAGGCCAAGGGATCCCTTCAGGTGGGGCCAGGAGCGAGCTGGGGTGCAAAGGATGAAGAGGTTGGATGATGGTCAGTCTTTGGTTGGTGAGCATTCTCTTGTTTCACAAGCACGGGAAGAAGGGATCCGTGGTTTTCATTCTGGACTGATGTGTGTGGCCATTTGGCGACGGGAGACGCATCAAAAACATACAAACATGCAGCAAGAAATAAACAAACATGCATCAAAATAGGCAATAAAAATGCATAAAAATGCATCAACAAAAGAACATAGAAAGAAACGAGCAAAGGAAGGAAGGAAGGAAGGAAGGAAGGAAGGGAAAGGAAAGGAAAGGAAAGGAACGGAAAGGAAAGGAAAGGAAAGGAAAGGGAAGGAAGGAAGGAAGGCTGTGAAATTGAAATGCGATGTTGCAAAACTTTGCACAGATGCCCAACGCAGAGACCATTGCAGTTATCAAAGGAAGATTCATTGGGGCCATTGGGGAAACTCCATGATAATCCTTTTTTTGGTCGTGCCAAGTTATATTGCGGGGAGGCGCTGCGCCCTCCCCCGCGCCCCCTCCCGCTTTTCATTGTTGAGCGCTTTCATTTCATTCATTTCATTCGTTCATTGACTCATTAATTCTTTCTTCCTTCTTTCTTTCATTTTCGTTTTCATTTCATGTGACTTTCCTGTTTGTTTGTTTGTTTGTTTGTTTTTTCTTTTGATCACTGCTTCGAATGGAATATTGCTCTTCCCTCTGCACGTTTGGGTCCGTTTATTTTTGTTTTATCTTGATCATATTGAAATATATTTATTTTTTTGATTCATTTTTGTTTTTTAATTGATCCCTCGCCCTTTGGCGACCATTTGACCGACCAGATTCAGCTGTTTTGGGCGAAAGGAAAGAGACTCATCTCAGCATCCTGTTGGCCCTTTCGTGGCCAAAAGCCCGAACCAAACCCAAACGTTCCTGCCCTGTGCACGTTTTGGGCGTCCAAACTTTCACAGTCACCTTGGCAAATGGGCATTTGATGATACCAGCAGGCCAAGTTCTGCCCTTCATGCAACCTAATAGCGATGGCCTCCAACCTAGTGGCGATGGCCTCCAACCTACTGTAATCGCGATGGCCTCCAACCTAATGGCGATGGCCTTTAATCTGAGTCTCAATGAATCTGGATTAGGTCAGAAAGAGGCTGTTTATGCCACTGGAGGAGGCTCCTGACTCGGCCCTCGGCGCCCTCGGCACCCTCGGCGCCCTCGGCACCCTCGGCGCCCTCGGCACCCTCGGCGCCCTCGGCGCCCTCGGCCAGGCACTTGTCACCTCGCATGCAGCTGCAACCTCTGTCTGCCCGGGAAAAGACAGTGCCATGGCTACATATGACCCTTTAAGAGTGGGAGAGGCTTTTGTCTTGTTCTCAGATTTGTTTACAGGGCTCACAGGTCTTCGGGAGAGAAGATGGAACAAACTTGTCTAGGACGGTCATGCACATTTGGGAGTTCCAATGGAGCCATTGTGTCTTCGGCTCCTTAGCTGTCTCAGAGGCTCCCTATTATGTACGATATACTATGGCTCCCTCGAAAACACACCAAAAGGCATTGCACCTATAAGAGCCTCCTCACTGCGAGCTATGCCCTCAAGCAGTCGTTTGGTTTCAGGTCTTTACATGATTTTACGGGTGCTTGGAAGCTTGGAGGGACGGTCGGGTCGGGTCACTGGCCAGAGACGGGCCACTGTCTCTGGCCAATCTGGTAAGGGATCACCAGCCCAATCTGGTGAGGTGGGGACACCGTGCCTGTGGCAACCTTCCTTTGATTCCTTGATGGCTGAAGAGCACCCAACTGATCCTTCCTTTGGCTTCCTCTTGAGGAGGTCGAGGAAGCCGCCGTTGCGGCTCCAGGCAGGGTGCAGAAACCATTGTCAATTGGGAAGGAACTGCTGGTTGGAAAGGGATTTGACAGCACGTGAACAAAGGGGTAGAGCGATCGAGAGGAACTAGTTTTCCTTTTACCAAAAGGTTGTGGGGTTGCACTGTCTTAGCAGAACGAGAGCTCTCAATCGAGGAGACCTTGGCTGACTTTACTGTTGGGCAGTTGGGGATAAAGGAGCATGACTTGACTTTTAGCTCAGATTTGCAGAGGAGTCTTCTCTCATCTCCCCAATGTCCAAGGGGTCCAGCCTTAAGTATGGCTTCCTTTGTTGAGGCTTCATTCATGTTCCACGTCTCACGCATTGCGCTGCAGGTGAAGGAGAGAGGACGCAGCTAGCATGACGGGCCATGGTCGGGTGGGCGGAATCTCCGCCCGGAGGAGGCTCTCAGCACTGTAGCGATGCACTTGTTCCTAGTCCTTTTTATCTCCATCCACAACGCTTGTTGATTCCAGAGGCCTAATCGCACCGGGAGCGATTTGAGCGTGGCCCAAGTGTCATGTTGCCTCCATCCAACATTCCGTGGTTTGAAAAGGCACCAAGTGCGGGATCGTCTTGGAAGGAAGTCAACCCCACAGCCGATGGTCCTGAAGAAGGTTGGGGAAAACAATCCTAGTCTGATGATTGGTGATGTATTCTTTTTTATTCATGCATACATTCCAAAGTGTTCTTCAATTTGGATTCGGAACACCACTTGTTACCAAAAGGGGCCCATGATGATTGAAAGAGCATTACTCTTGGATTGCAATTGCAGCTTCCTGCTTTTCATACCCTCAGTCCCGCAGCGAACAGATGCAATCAACTTGATGCTTCCAACGAAGGTGTGGTTCATTGGGCCAAGTTCATCAGAGCTGGCTAGCTAATTCCATGTGCTGAGAGCCCCATCGCCAGCACCGAACGGTGCTGTCGAAAGGGGGCGTCCCACAGTGGCCAGGCTGAAATGAGGCCTAGCCGATGGAACGTGGTTTTTGCAAGCGCAGACATGGGCGCGTAAGCGCAGACGGCAGAGGCAGTGATCACCAGGTCACCAGACTGTGAAAGGCCAAAGGATGGGCAATCATGAGATTTCATGAGCTCTTCCAGCTTCTTGAAGCCGAATGGTATTCTGATCGAAGTTGAGTCTTAGACCAGTACGAGATCTCAACGAGAGATGTCAGACGAAGGCCTCTGCCAGTTGCACCTGGAATCCACTCACGACAGACAGTCATGAGGGACCAGATGAGAAAGGACCAAAGGAGCGAAGACTGGAGACACCGGGATCCGCACTAAAACAGTGAAGACTGAACAAAAACAGTGATTGACCTTCCAACTTGTCCACCTGTTGGCGTGTAGTGTCTAGATTTGGTGGAGTCAATTTCTCTCCACCAGATGAAGGATGTACTAGACGAAGCTTGCCGAATAGCTTTGAGAGACTCCCCAGACTAGCATCATTTCGGGCAACGAGCAGATACGCGACCTCTTCTGAAGCATCAAGCGGGGAGAAGGGATGAACGGACCCCATTCTCGACTTGAATGTTCTCAAACACAGCATGCAATGCGTTGTTCTTTTCATAAGATGCAAAGGTTGGATAATTCGAAGTTGCGGCTTCATCACATCAGGTTTAGATTTCCTGATTCTATGACTCTTCCTTTATGTAAATCTTTCTTCATTGGCACCGTGTCAAGTGTCATGTGTCTCAAACTTCGCCCTGACTGTCCCTCCGAAATTGCTAGGTCGTGAATCGATCTTCGAACCCCGGTTTCATGGCCTGAGGACGTCATTTGTCTCTTGGATTCGTTCAAAACTGGTGAACCCCAAATGACCGGGATGCTTTACGAGTTCTCCAACACGGTTCTCCCGTGTTGGAGAACTCGTCATTTTCGTCCTAGAAGTAGCATGAAGTAGCCGACGCCCCCGAGGCCCATCCTGGGACGAAGAAGCGGAAGGTGGACGAAGGAGCCAGGGCGAACGTTTGCCTTCAGTCTTGTCTGATGAATCATGAACGTATTGGATAGATGTATGTGCGAAAAAGGGTAGCAGCGGCACCCGAAGTCCGCAAACACGAAAACAAGAGGGCGCACTGAAGCGCCGCGGCCGCGCCTTTTGCAAGGCAACTGCCCTCCCAGTCTTGAGAGGGAACGACGGTAAGTGAAGGTCGAAAACAGTTCGAACTGCCGAAACACAAGTGCACAGCGTGAACTTTACAGTATGATTTTCAGGGTTTTGGAATCAGTGGAAGGATGGAACACAAGCCTTCCTTTGATCGCAGTGATCGACTTAGTGGCCCTTTCCCTTCAGTTTGGGCTCAGCAAGCTTACCAAGTATCAAGCCTGCAGTGCTCTCTGCCGCCTTCAGGAGAAAGCCTTCGCTTCGGGAAGGCGAGCGCTTCGGTTGGTCTCTGCAGTGCTTGGTCGCTTCGGTGCATGATGAAGGAGGATGGAAGCTTCGTCACCCCCCAAACGCAAGCGCTCTGACTTCTTATTGACAGTGACCGGTCGGGTCGTTGTGTTAATTAGTTTTTGTTGAACTCTTCATGGATCCATCAAAACCGCAAAAAGGCTGCGAAAGATGCCAGTGCACATGTGAAAAAAACGTGTCATTCTTGTGCAAAACGGGTCATGCATTCTTCCTGTTTCAGGGGGACCTGGGGAGAAAAGACGAAACATGGACAGAAACCCATCCTCACGTTGGACCTCATGACTGCCTTGGACCTCATTCCACTTCATGACTCCGCGTGATGCTACCCACCAAATCTCGGTCGCAACCTCAAGGTTGATCATTTGCTTTGAGGATGGCCGTCATGTCCCCTCATTCGATGGGGCACCCTAAAGGGGCAACTTTGAAGCAAGCAAAGGGTGACTACTGAGAGTCTCGACAAACGCTTCATTGACTTAGACTTGCTGCATGTCCTCCACTTGATTTGGGATGAAATCAGAATCGCCACCCGAATGGCAGGGGTCTCGACGATGAGAGCTTAGAGCAGTGGCGTCCGGGTTGAATGGGCCGAAGGGGCCCTGAGCAGGCCAAAGAAGGGGCCCCTGATAAGAGATGACTTAGTTTCCCTAACCAGCTGATGTTGCCATCTGATCCAGAATGAAGCTGGCCTCTGGCAAACCGGTAGGGAGTTCACGAAGTGTTGGAGCCAAAAAAAAGTGGCACGGAGCAAAATGCGGGTGACGCTCCTGCGCGGTTCCAAGCAGTGAAGAAAGAATCCATCGGTCCTTCGATTTCGGTCGAAGGGATTGGACGTTGAAGAGCAGGTCCAACAGGTTTAATCGACGAAGCTTGATGTGTGCAAAAGGACCAGGACTTTAGATTCAAAGGTGTGCCACCGAATGTTTCAGAAAGGGATGTTGATCAAATCGTCACACGGAAACGTAGGATCGGCTGTCCTTCAGTTGTGGATGGAAAAAGAAGGTGGCGCCGTTTTCTCCGCAGTTGTGATCTGAAGAGTCCAAGACCGTGTCTGCTGCGTGCGTGCCACGCGCTGAAATGGAGGAGTGCTTCAGCCAGTGAACATTTGTGACCTGCCTTTTTTTCCCGCATCGTAAGGTTCAAATAATAGATACTAATTAGATTTAATAGATCAGATAGTTGAATGATCCATTGAGCTGTTGTCCAACGGCGGCTGACGAGGAAACCATGTCTTTGTTTCATGATCAAGAACGCTAAGCACGAGGTGTTTCTAGACCAAATGTGTTTCTGGACTCGGCCAGTTCAACTAGGGGACCACCCCCACGTACTTGCCCGGTCTCTTGGATGCAAAGAATTGCGCCTGGCAGTCACTTCTCGTCACTCATCGTCACCAGCTTGTCAGACACCTCCCCAAGTGGCAAACACCTACCTCATGTGTTCTGCACGGATCTCTGGGCACACTGATGCTCTCAATTCGGCCCTGCCGGTGTCGCAGCCTCAGGAGGTTTTTATTTTTTCGAACGACGGGTGGATGCTGGGCATTGGTGAGAAGACGGCACATCCGAAGGCGAATTTTTGGGGATCCTCTCCCTCCTTTACTATGCTTGCCGCATGCTCATCAGCAGTCTCAGGGGGATTTCTGAGAAACGCCTTCACTAGCCATCATCATCCACTTTTGGTGCAAACCAGGGGTCCTAGAAGAGCGCCAATTCCTTTCATTGCCGATGGGCCACCTGTGATGAATCCACGCTGCCAACCAAGACGCGCTGCACCATGGCGCTGAATTCGGCCGGAGACCGTTGGGGATGGAGTTTTTGGTAATGGTCCGCGAAAATGAAAACCCAGGGCGCGGAAAGTGACAATTTATTAGATCTGTTGTTGCGAAAGTAGTTGCGAAAGCTTTTCTGGAAGTCATATGGTTTTTTCTGTTAACCATTTGCATGTCAAAAGATGAGGGTTCCGCCGCGAAAGTGGCGAGAAAGTCAATACTTTGAAATGAGGCCCGCGAAAGTAAAAACACAGCGAAGGCGGCCGGAAAGCACTCGCGAAAGACAGCTGATTAGAACCCCACCACAACCAGGTTTTTGAAGCAGCTCAAGTGGGGAAAGCAATTGGATTCTTTGGGCCACTGAAGCCAGCCCATCTGCCAATCTTGCAGAAAGGGAACGATCTGCCAGTCGGTTTGTGCATCAATTTGTTCCAAGCACCCATCACCAGGACGAAAGTCCATGTTTTTATGGGGCAAAGACCGAGTTAGGCGGTTAGGCCCGGTTAGGCTAGTGTCAGTGTTGTTGGGTGTTCCCTATTTGTTTAACCACAAGCAACGCTTGGACCGACCTGCAAGCAGCAACGAAGTGCATTTGGTGCTTCTGCCAGGCGGTGAACTTGCCCCATTGCCAGGTGTTGCCGGCTGGTCATCCACGTTGCTTTTTTGATCCTTCCATGTCGGCTCTTCCTGTCATTGAGACGCAGAAGTCCCAAAGTGTCAGATTTTTCATCGGCCAACGAGACTATCGAGCGACAGGTTAGTTTTACCATACTCATAAACTTGATGCTGCGACAGTAATCGAAGTCAGTACGAGAGGAGCACTTCGTTCAGATGCTTCGTTAAAGTGGTTAGCTCAAAAGCTAATACCACGAAGCTATCATTTGTTGGATCGCGACTGTAAGTAAACCGTGCTGGCTAAGCAGTGTTGCTCACCACCCCCATAGCGATACGCCAACCAAAAAGCTTCGGCGCCAGTGCGTTTCAGCTTCCACTGTCGCTAAAGGCATGGTAGCGAATGATCATTTTGCAGTGTGGGGGTGATAGACCATTCGGAGACGATTTGATTGAATCCAGGCATTGTAAGTACTGAGAGTATCCTTTGTGAACGATCCACTGAGATTCATCCTGTATTTTTGGGTCTGTCGCTTGCTCTCTCACTGCATCTCTTTTTCCATCTCTATTGCGCAACTTCCCCTTATCATCTCGACGCCCACACTATATAATTACAGGCGCTTATGTTAGGATCCTTATGGT